CTAACAAGATCTCCGCGGTGATCTCCTATGTTCAGTCAGTCCCTTCTTCCCTGGAATCTGATCATGCCCCTTTCTCCGTCTTGTCTTGTCCATACTCGCTATAGATCTGTTCTCTACCAAGGCGGCCTCATCGTGTCTGGTTTTCACTCACACCTGCTACATACGGAAACAATGTGTCCAGATTTGAACAAAGACCTTACACTGCTCCTCTCATGTGTGTTTGTTTCTCATCCCTTCATGATTGAAAGCTGGACAAGGGTGGACATGTATTTCATTTCAATCTGCTCAAATTCTTTTCAGTAAGCATGTGGAGTCAGGTCACGAAAGATCATAGAGAATCTTAAATTTTTGGTGTGAGGAAATAAGTATTTGGGAGGTTTTCCATTTTAAAATGATAGTCAAAACACAGCATTACAAGTTAGGAAGTTAAGATTCTTATAATTCCCAATTCCTGTAAAAGCCACCAAGCTGCTGAGAAATTTGCAAGAATGATCTTCAGCTCATCTAGCATTTTTGAGGAGAAACTCATCTTTGAAAAGAAATATTTCTCTTGAGTTCAAGAAAAATGGAATGTCTCTATACTCTGTGTAATACCATAAATTTTCTTTCTCCTTCATTTTGTTAAAAAAAATTAATAAGCCACATATAGACCTTTCATAGTATTAAGAAAACAAGACAGGTAATTTTAGGCCATTCCTCATAAGCTTATGGTTAAAACAGAGAAAATTTATTTTAGATGTAGATGAGTGGATAAACGGAAGATCCGAGTTTAAAACCAAGTTCTTCAGCAGCCTAGGAAAGACAAAGTTAGGAGCATTCTAAAGAGAGTTCTTGGACCATAACTGGTGACATTAAGTTGAGATGAACAATAGTTTGAAAAAAATTAATTCAGACCATACCCCATACATTAGTGGGACTCCTTGTACCCCACCAACTTCAACCTTTTATTCATACAGCTGCCAAAAACACCTTTTAAGAGTTCTGAGAAATCAGTGTCAAGACCAATGTCAAAAAGCTTTTTTCTCCTATGTTTTCTTCTAGGAATTTTATGGCTTCAGATCTTGTGTTTTGATCTTTAATCCAGTTTTACTTGATATTTTTATATGATGGTATAAGATAAGGTTCCTATTTCACCCTTTTGCAAGTGGATATCGAGTTTTCTTAATGCTATTTATTGAAGAGACTATCCCCTCCCCCTTGTGTATTCTTAGCACCCTTGCTGTAGATTGGATGACCCTATATACACATGGGTTTATTTCTGCACTCTATATTCTGTTCCTTTGGTCTATATGTCTCTTTTAATGCCAGTACTATGCTGCTGTGATTACTGTTGGTTTGTAATATACTTTGACATCAGGAAGCACGATGCCTCTAGCTTTGTTCTTTTTGCTCAAAACTGCTTTGGTTATTTGAGGTCATTTTTATTTCCATATGAATTTTAGGATTTTTTTTTCACTTTTCTGTGAAAAAATGCCAATGAGATTTAGCTAGGGATTGCATTGAATCTTTGGATCACTTTGGGTAGTATGAACATTGGAACAATATTAATTCCTCCAGTTGAACATTAAATGTCCTTCCATTTATTTGTGTCTGCTTTCATTTCTTTCAGCAGTGTCTTATAGTTTCAGTAGAAAAATATTTCACCTCCTTGGTTAGGCTTTCTCTTAAGTATTTTATTCTTTTTGATGCTATAGGTAATGATTTCCTAGATATGGAATCAAAAGCACAGGCCGAAAAGGTGACCGTAATGAAACTATTTGTTAAAATGATCATCTGATCATTGTTCATAAACAAATAAAAACCAATTCCTTACTTTCATAATGAACTTTATCATTTATAAAAACACCTTCACAAATATTATTTCATTTGAGTTCCACAGCAACTCTGTGATATGGAAAAGAATTCGATCTCCCAGAGAAAGTGAAGTAATCTTACCTAAACTCAAATGTCTAGAGTAAATGCAAGAGTGAAACCCTAAACTCAGACCTGTTAGTGCCAACTTATATATTCTCTCTTCCATGCCATATGACCCATCTGCGTTAGAGTCTAACTAAAGAAATAAAAACCTACATATAATGTAACTTTCTTATTTTTCAATTTCACTTGCAACTTCTTTCAAAAACCTGGATCCTTATTTTAGAGCACAAATCTTTGGAACCATATGGACGTCTCAGACTATCAAGTTTAGAAACACGAAACTAAACTAACCTAAAACTTTGGAGCTCCAGCTTCAGCTTCAAGCTTTGCAATGAAACACTTTGCTACTGTTATCTTCTCTTGCCTGCTGCTAAAATAATTATTTGAAAAGTCCAACTCTCTTATCTTTGGAAATCTTTTCTTAGCATCTTGATTTTATGCATGAGAGGAGCCAAAACACAAAATGAGAGACATGGCACATCTTGTGTTTGTTAGCATAAAGCTTGTTATTATCTTTTCCTAATCAATAATCCTCTCATTATGGTCTCTTTCCCTTTTGAAGCTGGAGCTCCTGTTATTTATTCACGCTTGATATCTCAAAATCCCTCAGGAGTCCTAACGTACACAGAAATAATTACAAAACTTTGAATGAGCATGGAGTTATAAACTCAAACCAAACAGAACATTTTTAAAAGTAAGCATAATTTAATGAGGGTTTTTAGACAATGATAGAAAATGGCTCTATTGCTCATTACAGCAACAAACATCTCAGTTATAAAATAAGGAATATTTGTTTGGACAGATATTACATCCAAATGGCTATACCAAATCATCTAGTGCAGAATTTACAAAAAAGAATGTTTTTGAAGATGTGTGGGGAAACTCCCACTTTCTAAAGTTTGTCTATATAGAAACAAAGTGGCACTTAGGAGTAGTTACAAATTAGTAGTTTCCCTAACCCCTTACATAAGCGATACAAAATTCTACTCTTGGTATATATCCGCGAGAGATGAAAATGTATATCCTCACAAAAACTCATGCATTCATATTCATAGTAGGACGATTAGTCATAATAGCCAAAAGATGGAAATAACCCAAATGTTTATCCATTGATAAATGACTAAACAAACTATGGTATATCCATAAAATGGAATATTATTCAGCCGTCAAAAGAAGTGAAGTATTAATACACACTACAACATGGATGAAACCTAAAAATATGCTAAGTGAAAGAAGCCAGTCATGAAATACCATATGGGGTTATACAGAATGTTCAGAATAGGGAAATTTATAGAGACAGAAAATAAATCAGTGGCTGCTTAGGTGTGGAAGTGAGAACATAGGAAGGGGTAGGCAGCTAAACGGTATAGGATTTCTTTTAGAGGTGATGAAAATGTTCTAAAACTGAGGTGATGGCCGGGCGTGATGGCTCACGCCTGTCATCCTAGCACTCTGGGAGGCCGAGGTGGGAGGATCGCTCAAGGTCAGGAGTTCGAAACCAGCCTGAGCAAGAGCGAGACCCCGTCTCTACTAAAAATAGAAAGAAATTAATTGGCCACCTAAAAATATATAGAAAAAATAGCGGCGTGGTGGGCATGCCTGTAGTCCCAAGACCTACTCGGAGAGGCTGAGGGGCAGGAGGAATCGCTTGGCAAAGCCCAGTACGTTTGAGGTTGCTGTGAGCTAGGCTCGATGCAAGGCACTTACCTGGGGCAAGCAGAGTGAGACTCTTTCTAGAAACAGTAAAGAAAAGAAAAAGAAAAGAGTAAAAGAAAAGAAAAGAAAAGAAAGAAAAGAAAAGAGAAAAAAGAAAAGAAAAGAAAAGAAAAGAAGAAAAAAAATCATTCTTATAAATCATGATCATTTTCATTTTGACTTCGCTTTTCTTTAACCCTTTGCACTCGCTTGCTTTTTTCTCGATTCCTTTGTTTCTACTCGGGTTTTTTAAATACCCAGATTTTAGCCAAAGCATGCAGTAGAATAAAAACTGGAGTTTCTTTTCATACAAACTTATTTCTTTGGATTTTTTTATATTTCAAATTATTGATACATTCATAGAGTCATTTTAATCTCTATAATTTTTCATGGTGTGATATTTTTTGAAACATTTACCCACATGAAAACCTGGTTTGCATCCACATGTTTCACAAATATAAATCATCTCTCTTCCTCCTCCTTTGATTTTTCTGTTGGAACAAACAACACAATCTTTGTGTTTTTTGTTAGGGTGAGGTGTGATTGTATGGAAATTTCCATTTAAATGTTGCTCTAAGTTAGTGGATAATACTAATCTACCCCTGGAAGTTAGTGGACCATCTCTGAATTCTCCAACAAGATCATGTACTAGTTTCCTAATAAATTTCACATGCGTTTTTAGGTTTTTCATTTTTTTTTCTCTTTTTTTTTTTTTGGCATTCTTTGTACAATATATAGGAATGCACAACACTGACCTCAAGCCCCTAGAAAAACAATGCACGCCACCATTGTAGAGTCAAAAAGCTCAAAAAAGGCTTGATGCAACGACTCTTGCCTTGGACTTTCCTACTCAAGACTGTTGCCGATGCAAAAGATGAGCTTAGGTGGTGGCACCAGTTGAGACGGCATTTGCATTTTACTTGTCCTTTCGTGCTAATGGAAACAAGAAAAGACACTGGAAAAATAGACAAAAATCCTCCCCCCGCCCAATGCGGTGACACTCCATGTCGAGTGTGGCTCCACATGCGAGCTGCTACCGATGCCAACCGTGTCGGGTCACACGCGACACCCCAGTGCAAAGCTAGTAATGGCGGCACCCACCAACGAAGGACAGCAGGATCACCAGGAGGACGACAAGAGCACAGAGGCACGGAATCAGGACAAGCAACAGGAATCGGAGCAGGCTGGCCGTCACCACCTTCTGGGAGCAGCCATCACCCATGCTGTTCTCATCAGCTCCCAAGACCTAAAAGAGGAAGATGAAGCATGGTTTTGATGTCAGAAAGCAACTCAACACGTGGCATGAAATTTTAAGTCACAACTAATCCATTTAAAATGGGAGCATTTCTAAACGATTTTATTGTGGGTGTTTGAGGGCGTGGAATGAGGTTAGTCACCCAATCACGCTAACAAACAAACAAATAACTGTACATACACCTCAATTAGGGAAGAGCAAATCGTCTATTTCTGAAACATTTTTCAGGTTTTCAGGAGAACGTGAACTTTAAACAATATTCCATCTTGATTTAAGTATTTTAAATATTTTAAATATTCCATTTGATTTTTTTTTTTTTGGAGACAGAGTCTCACATCTGTTGCCCAAACTAGAGTGGAAGTGCCGTTGGGTCAGCCTAGGCTCCACAGCAACCTCACACTCCTGGGCACAAGCGATCTCCTGCCTCAGCCTCCCGAGTTAGCTGGGACTACAGGCATGTGCCACCATCCCGGCTATTTTTTCTCTATCATTTTTAGTTGGCCAATTCATTTCTTTCTATTTTTTAGTAAGACGGGGTCTCCCTCATTGGCTCAGGCTGGTTTTGAACTCCTGACCTTGAGCGAGCCTCCTGCCTCGGACCTCCCAGATGTGCTAGGATTACAGGCGTGAGCCACCACGCCCGGCCATCTTGATTTTTTTTTAACCTATTTGCCAATTTGGTATTATTCCAAGGGGCTATGATTACTATAGCAAGAAATCATCCTGGCCCAAAGCTATGAGCAAGGACTGCCTGAAACAGTATAAACAAAATTTGTAAGTAGGTGTAGACGGGACATTATCCAGAATTCATTCTTTTTTTTTCAAGACAGAGTCTCACTCTGTTGCCCAGGGGTAGAGTTGAGTGTCATGGCGTCACCTGCTACACACAACTCAATCTCCTGGGCTCAGCGATCCTCCTGCCTCGGCCTCCGAGGAGCTGGGACTACAGGCATGCGCCACCATGCCCGGTCATTTTTTTTTATATATGTTAGGTTGGGCCAATAATTTCTTTCTATTTATAGTAGAGACGGGGTCTCGCTCTTTTGCTCAGGCTGGTTTCGACTCCTTGGACCTTGAGCAATCTCCGGCCTCGGCCTCCCAGGAATTGCCTAGATGACAGGCGTTCGAAGCCACTGCGCCCAGCCCAGAATTCATTCTTGTTTGTCTCAGTCTCACACCGAAATCTGTACGAATCTGGATAAAATAAGTTTTCAGCCATTAGCAATCCAGCAAGGCTCCGCATCACTGACCATGTATTTAGTGACAAGCTGAACAATGAGAAGAAAACTGCCATGTTTCCAATTAAATGCCAACGATTTTTGAGGACAGCCTCAGTCGTCCATTCCACCCCCGGAGCCCAGCCACTGGGAAAACAACAAAAGTGGACCAACAACAATGTTGGGGAAAAGTTCTTGTCTTCAAATGCTTCGAATTTTGCTTAGTTCAATCTCTTGTAGGGAAATGATGTCTGGAAATCCATTTATTACAACTGCCTAGCTCAGGGCAGGGCCTTTTTCCAAAGAAGCCTGAGAGGGTATTAATAGTGCTTTCAGATGCCACGAGCAACTCTTCTGGGCCCCTTAATGAAAGTATTTTTCGTGGTTCTCTGTCGGATTGCTGATTGCATTTTGTCCTCCAGCGGTTGCAGAACTTGAACTATAATCTCTGTGTAACTATCTCCCAAATCTCTCTTGCATCCTGAACTTCCTTTTCAAGTTACACTAGATATTTCCATTGCCTGGTGGTTAGCAGCACCTCTTGGACCTTTGGTCCAAACCAAAACCAATCTCCTCCTCTCTTCCTACCTTCAAACTAATTCTTCTCTTGACTTCCACATTCGTGTCCACAGAAATGCCACTGTTCCAATAACCTAGAGACTTTTCCCTTCTTCATCATCCTCCCCCCATGGCACCTGGTACCAGGTTGTGTTGCTTCTTTCTCTGTAATAAATATCTAAATAAATAAAAAAATGAACAACCTTTGAGATAGAAGCTATTCTAACGAATGATCCTGTAACATTATTAGCACTCCCTGACCAGGACTTGGCCATTTCCCATGGATCAAAAAGGCAACGTCGAAGAGTTCTTCTGAATTGCAAGGAAGACGTGATTTCCCCATTTCTGCTTTATTCCTCCTATATCAGAATCAATTCTTGTTCCCTAACACATATTGCCAACAGTGCTCGCTACATAATGTGATGACACCTTCTGTAATTTTAAGAATCCTCCATGAGAGCCATTATTTGAAAGACGTGAAGGTGTTAGCTTGAAAAAAACGTAATTTTCCAGGTTAATGTTTTTACTGACCCACTCTCTGTCCACCTGGCTTAAGCTACCAGCTAAGGTGAGATCATTTAGAGTTAATTGACGATCGGTCTTCAAGAAGACATAGCACTGGCATCATATATATTATATGAGATCTGCAATAGCACCTTGATTACAACACAAACATTGTGTAGGTAGGTGGTGCCCTTTCGGGCTTGTATATAACATTTATCTGTTAAAAAAAAAAAAACAAAAACCAAGTGTGGAACTGCAGGCCAGCAGAGATAGTGGCAGAATGAACTTATATCATTTACTCAACAATTAGTAATTGAACGCCTAATAATTTATAACAAGCATAGTGATGGTTGTAACAATGACTTGGAACCAACTGTCTCTCAAAAGCTCAGAGTCTTTTTAGGAGAGAGAAGATATGCACATGAATAATATCATTCAAGGCAGCCGATGATATGCATCATGAGGTTCAAAGCTAAAGCTCCATAGGAATTCAAAAGATAGGAATATGATTTCTTGCTGGAAGACCAGATGAAACATTGCGGAGAGAGCAGCACTTGAACCTGCCATAATTCTAAGAAAAGAACCTCTGAAAAGGTCTGCTATAGGAAAAAAAAAAAAGAAGAAGTCTTAAAATACAAAGAGGAAAAGAATTAGGAACTTAGACTTCTACAATAATGAAAGAAGTTTCTTTGGAAGGTGGCCACAGGACTGACACAAGCAGGATGATCTTCATGCATGGTGAATTCACAATGGCTCGTTGGAATCTGGAGTCCTGTAGCAAAATCCATGCCCTTCCGTGTTCATAAGTAAACAGTCAGTGGAGAAAGTGCTAGAAGGCTCATCTTAATATCTCACGTAAGTATGTATCAATAAGTATTTGACCTCCGGAACCATATTCGTGATTAGTCTAAATATTTTCTCCAGTAACAAGGAAATGGATCGCCTTTTTCAAAGGGAGAGGAGGAAGAAATAGAAGCAATTCGATGGTTCCGCACGTTCTTCTTGATCGCATGACTTTCCTCTCGCACTTCCGGCCGCTTAGGGTTATTGCTGCAAATGCTGTCACTCAGGGGCCCTGCGAGCTTCCACTGAACCTAATGCAACTCTCAGACTCCCCTGTTGAGTGACTAATGCCCCAGCTGACACCAACGGCCAGGACAACCCCTAAACTTTATGGCACTGGACTCTGAGCGATCGTCTCTCCAGATAACATCTAGAATCTACTGTCCCCACCCTGGACACTGTAAGCTGGGCACAGACACAGCTTTCCAAGGTCATGGCAAGGCGCGACGCGTCGGGTTAGACCTGTGCCTCTTGCAAAGCACGTGATTCTCATGTTCCACTAATCCTGTTGGCAAAACTCACTTCTTGTATCTTAATAACCACGTTTATTTTAAAAAGCTGTTGTGTTGGTATATACAACCTATGCTGATATGATCTACCTAGCTAGGATATTTTCTTGAGACAGTTTCTACTGGGAGTTGTTCTCATCCCTTTCTTTTTTTTTTTTTTGAGACAGAGTCTCACTCTGTCGCCCAGGCTAGAGTGAGTGCTGTGGTGTCAGCCTAGCTCACAGCAACCTCCAACTCCTGGGCTCAAGCGATCCTCCTGCCTCAGCCTCCCGAGTGAGTAGCTGGGACTACAGGCATGCGCCACCACGCCTGGTTAATTTTTTCCATATATTTTTAGCTGTCCAGCTAATTTCTTTCTATTTTTTTAGTAGAGACGGGGTCTCGCTCTTGCTCAGGCTGGTCTCAAACTCTTGAGCTCCAGCAATCCTCCTGCCTCAGCCTCTCAGAGTGCTAGGATGACAGGCGCGAGCCACCGCGCCTGGCCAACAGGTGACTTGCCTCTTTAAAATAGCAACCCTGGATCTTTCCTCTGAGCTCCAGATCATTATCTACAACTGGCCACTTGACGTCTCCCCATTAGACGTTGCAGAAGCACCTCAAAACTCGAGTCTGAAACCAAATAAATAATCTTCATCACCGTACCCAGCATTCTTCCAGGGTGTCTATCTCAGAAAAAGGTGACTGTGTCAGGCACTGTCCGGGCACTTGGGACATACCAACATGCAAAGCACACAGAAGCTCGCTCTATCACCTATCAGCATATTCACAGACCTGAAAACTGCAGACACAGAGACCCCACTTACTGCTAGATATTTGGTTCGCAACATTGTCCTGCACAAGCATCATTCTAAATTGTGACTTTTTTTTTTTTTTCAGTCTTAGAGACAGAGTTTCTCCAACTAATCTCTCCCTTTGACCATGGAGCGAGAAAACAAGTCTCGTTGGTTGCCCTCTAATTCCAGATGAAAAATTACCAGTGCTCGATGCTCTCCATTCCATTCTCAATAAGCCATGAAAGTCATTTTCAATAAGCCCTTAAAGGAATTATAAGTAGATTTATTAAATAAGAGATCAATGATGTAGACACCTCGCAAAAAAAATATATCTGTCAATTCTCCATAATAATCGCTTCCTCTCTGCCAATAAGCAAAATGCCTCCAAAAATCATCCATCAGTGAATTATGCCAAACCCAAACGGCTTTTGTTGTAATGTTTATTTTTAATATCCCAAGAGGCATAAAGAACAGGCATCTGGTTCTCAGTAAGTCCTTTCATCCCATTTACTGGCATTTAATTGAAGCGTACGAAGTTCAAATAACTCATGCACACTCTCAAAATGAGATTACTGGCTTTTACACCA